CTCTGTTTAACATTACCTCAGATAAAACAGTGTAGTTGCTGATCTGATTACATTGACATTGAATAGCACTCTGTTAGAAGGCTTGGAAATGCACAAGAGTGACACCAAGGTGTGTAGAATTGTCATCGAAGAGATAAGATAAGCCAGTCTCTGACAGTAATGTAGGGGATGTGTTACTACAACTGGATCAAAGAAAGCTGCTACAGAAGTGGAGCCGTTGCCGATGGCTCATTCAGTCTTTCAGATGAAGCAAGGAATCAGGTCACTCCCTGCATTATAGTAATGTACACAGGTGTTGTATATACTTAGTTCGTGTGTGTGTGTGTGTGTGTGTGTGTGTGTGTGTGCCTAGAGTTGTACATAATCAGCTTTGCTCATTTACCAGCAATTGTATAGGTAGTCTCTCCGATTAGCTCAGCAAGCTGTGTATAATGGAATGGCCTTGCCTGAAAGTACTATTAAACTCTCACACATTTTTGCAGCAATGAATCCAGGTGAAACAAATATGCGTTACCCAGCAAAGTATTTCTTTACATTTTTGCCTAAGCACTTGTTTCCAAACAGCTGGCTTTAACTCTCTCGGCTCAGCTTCCCTGAACTTCCTGTTGAGCACAAGAGACAGTGAAGTCTCCAGCAGCTGTCAGTCTGCTAGCTTAGAGAAGGGGGGAGCAGGGTTTAGGGATCAGGGGAGAGGCCTGCCTTGCTGTGCCTGTGTGTTTGTGGATATGTATTCCAGAATCCTGCTTCACTCCTTACCCGGGTATCTTTGTCAGCGTGGGTGCTCGAAGTGACCGGGGATGCCGCCGCCAATACTGAAACTTGTTAAAGATGTCACCAGCACACCATATTGAAGTGAAGAACACGTCTGTTTATTGACGCTTTATGTCAAAACAAATAGCAACGTTTCGGGGGTCACACAGGGTCCCCTTCATCAGGCTTGAACTGACAGACATTCACTTCAATATGTGTGCTGGTGACATCTTTAACAATGTGTGTTTGCGGAGACACACACAGCTTATTACCGCACACAAGGGTAGCTCCATAGGACCCTGCAAAGGAAAGGAAAATGGGATAGCAGGGCCACTGCTCAGGGGACCGGCTGATTCTGCAAGAAGCCAAAACTTTAAAACATCAACGAGCAGCTTCCATTGTAAGTGATTTTATCAGCACTTGAAATGGCTTAAAAACCTTTGGACTGGATTGATTTATCAGATCTACCGATAATCTGGGACGATATTCACAAACGTTTTCATTATTGGTATCTGTTAAATTTACCAATAATAACTGATAATTCTTGAGGATCCGGCAGAAATTCACGCAGTGAGTGCCGCTGTGTGGCTGGCATCCCTCGATCAGCTGATGAAAGGTTCAGGAATACTAACAGCGGCTGGCGGCTCGGTAGGGGTTGACCAATATCAGGCGACTGCCTGCTGTTTATGTTCAGCTGCTGGCTCAGTGTCCTTGTGACCTTGTGACGCATCTTGAATAGCCTTACTACGTCTATCACCTGGGCCACCAGGAAATATTTAATCCAGTGACGTTATAAGGGAGTAGTATTACTGAAACGTTTTATATAGGGACTTGCATAACTTTATCCGGTATCTGATTAAAGTTGTGCTAACCGTGCAACGCAGAAGTTTCACATTGTGTGGCATTGTTTGTGATTGCTAACTATCCTCTTTCCAACAGTATGTGATCATATTATGCTGGCTTTCTGCTCCCTGGGGCGGAATTAACAATAAGCTCCTGTGTTAATTGACGATTGTTCTCTATAGAGAGTCTGTCTGTCTGTAAATAAAACACTCTGGTATCATTTCCATTAAAAAAAATGCAATCAACTGTTTTTATGGAATTCCTTTTGTAAACGCTGTTCACATGCAGCCATCTTGTTTTCTACAGGAATTGCATAGAATGCCTGCCTGAGTGGATTAGTGAGAGCAAAAACCTGGAGGTGCTGGATGTCAGTCATAATCGCCTGACTGCACTTCCTGCAAGGTGAGTGTTCTTCCGAGCTGACAGGTTAACAGTTATCAGATACTTGGATTCTCTTGTTTTAATCATTAATCTACCCTGAATTTAGAACAGCTGTATGTACATTGTGCACCAGTTATGTTCTGGAAAATGAACTTCAGACAGAACGTGCAGCAATAAATCCTAAATGTGGATAGTTCTGAATGACACGCCAATGCACCTAAACTACTGTGCATTGTGATGTGCGGCGTTGTTAAAAATAGGGCATTGCTGTGGGTAGTTTCTCTCCCCATGAAAAAACAGGAAGTTCAACTCGCAATAATTCTCTCGGTTTCACAAGGACAAAAACTTTAGCTGGATTTCCACTTTAAAGCATTGGTGGTGTTTACACCTATCCCTTCTGTAGGCAAACCTTTTTACTATAATAGGGCTAGCAGTACTACTGTTCTTATAAGATCTAGTTACATAGGTAATGATCACCAAAAGTGGGTTTTATTAAAGGAGAACTATTAGGTGAGTGATTTTCACTCAATCTCATAGTTGGTGCCGACGTGTGAGCGGAACACATACCGTCGCTCGCTCACTTTTCGATCATCTCCCTGCAGAGAACTGTTACTATCACTCATGGCTCCCTGCAGGGATTCCCCATCTCCGATCCTCCAGAGCTGACTGTCAGAACGCACAGGGAAGGGGGTGGGTACAGCTGGAGGGGGCGGGTACAGATAGGCAGAGCCAGGTGTCACTCACGCAGCTGGTTGGATCGCGACAGTAATGTCGGGATCCGTCCCGGCTGCAGCGGTCTCAGTTTTCCCGCGAGCTGTAGCTGGCGATATACTGAGCTTTGGGTCACAGGAGGATGCTAGTTTATGTCCTCCCGTGACCCTTAGGTGAACTATGGGGAAAAACACTTAACCCATAGTTCTTTTTAAGTAAAAAATATAATAAATGGGTCCATAATAAATTGTAGGATATGATCAATGTTTTAGTGTTTTTGTAAATTTCAGTTTGGGGTTTAAGCCCCCCTTTTTTCTTTTTTTTTTTTTTTTTTTTTTTTTTTTTTTTTTTAACCTGGCTAACTATGTAAAAAAACAAAAGTCCATTGAGTTTGTACCAGTGGTGATCTAAAACTAGTTAGAATAATTCTCCTGTGAACTGTAATCAGTCATTGCTACTTACCATAACATGAATAAAAAGCAAACGTAATAAAAGCACATTTTTAAGAACTGGTAGGTGTATGATAGTCATTCAGTCATGGACACAGGTGAACAGCCATATTGGATTTTTAATTCTTTATATTTTGGGGTGGCCGATAGCTATGGCTTCTGTCCCAGAGATGAGGCTGCTAAGGGTGTCTATCTTCTCTACTCTGCTGCATGAACCTGCCCGCAATCTTGATGAGAACAGACATGTTTATGGAATGATCATTTGAAGACAGTCATTAGCATGTAGGATTGTTCTCGCACATCCAGTCCTGTTAATGTGACTTTAGAGAGCTTTCCCTCCAAAAGTCTTAAGGGGTTTTTGTTTTTTTATTTGTCATAGTTACAAATTGTGTTTTATAGCATGCCTGTCTCATCTTGTCACACAGGCTTTTTTGTGCCAACGGGCTGCGGAAGTTTCTTGCAGGGTATAATCGGCTTCCCCGACTTCCCGAATGTATTGAGCGCACTCAGCTTGAGATACTAGATGTTCAGCATAACCAGCTTCTGGAACTTCCAGCCAACCTGCTTATGAAATCAGACAAGTAAGAGAAACTAAACATTTACAGGACATGCAGTATAATCCTAATAAAACAACGCTTTTCACAGTTGATTCAGATGAACATGGTGGAGACTCTTCTTTTTAAATCTATCTTCGTGTTGACTTTCAGATTAATCGGTTGCTAATGTGTTCAGACCTCCAGCTATACATTAATTTTCCTTCCGGTTATCAGAAAAATGCTCTTTAATCTTAATAGGTTTACAATCTTTGTATGTGTACAGATAAGTATTGATTAAATGGTTTTAGCAGGATTGAGAGACCTTAACGTGAAGTCATTTCTTTTTTTTTTTTTTTTTTCTGCAGCCAGGTATGTGAAATGATACGATAAGCTTAGTTATCGTTCAGGTATCTGCATTCTTTCCCTTCTATTTTCCGAAGCAAAAATGAACAGGTGACCTGAAAATCTTATCAGGGTTAGGAGGAGGAGGTTTTTTTTTTGTGTGTGTGGAGTTAATTACCAGTGAAGCATGTGATTTCAGATGGAGCTCTGCTTGTCCTTGTCAAGAGGAACAAGCTCCTACAATAAGCCGGTGATTTGTGATAAAATCCCATCCCATGCATTTTGAAAGCATAGTCACAACAGAGACTAAGTTTGTCTGCTTGACATCACAAGAGCATGAATGTAAATGTCAGTTACTTTAGTTTATACATTTTAGTTTTTCCATTCTTGCTTTTACCATCAAACTGCACTTTAACACTGAAAGTGTATAATGATTTACAGACAATTTATGGTCAGCTGTTTTACGTTTTATGTTAAGCTCCGGTAGCCACAGGGTAAAAAAAAGGAGCATATTTAAGATGCTTTGGGCATTGCTTATTGGGTATGGGGACTTGCTGAAGAGCGCAAGAATGGGCTGACGTCCTGGTTCTGCAAAAGCACAGGATCTCAACTAGTGATACTTGTACTTTAGGGTATTTTTGCATTTCATGAGTTTAATCGGCCAACTAATTATGAAAATAATCATTAGTTGCAACCCTAGATTAGTTGGCCGATTTTTCTGTTTTCAATCAGATTTTTAAAAAGAAATCCATCTTTTTATTTAAAATAAAATACACAGATGGAGTGTTACAAACATAATGTTTACTTCAGAATAAAATGGCACAATTGTATCGCGCTGGAACATAGGGCATTGCGGTACTGCACATTCCAGTGTAGGCGATTGCACTGTGTGCTGGAGGTGCCTTTGTGGTGACACCTCCATGTACCTCACACAGCAGAATCTGTCATGCTGAAACTGTATTATAATAGACATTTTAAATGGATTCGAGGATTTAAAATAATCTGAATTGAAGAACTCCACTCTAATGCCTATTAGCCTTGAAAACTGTCAGAATTGAATGTCAAGATTTACTGCAATGGGGTTCATATTAGGCTTGGCAATTTTCCGACTTTAAGATGCGTTTAAGTAATATTTTGATCCATGATAAAGTGATGGCTTGAAAAACATTTGCCTTTATTTCAGATGCTGGCTATATCACTTATGATGGATGCTGCTCCTTGATGTTTAAAAGTTTTAGTTTTCTGCAAACGCAGCTGGTGCCTTGAGCACTGGGTCTGACTTCCTGTTCTAGGGTGGCTCTTTTTCCTTTGTAGGGTCCTACGGAGCCACTCTTGTGTGCTAGTGAGCTGTGTGTGCCTGCAAACACACAGACACAGCAAAGAAAGCCACTCCTCTGCTCTTTGCTCCCTTCAAGTTAATAGACTGCTCTGTCCCGTGTGTTCTGGTACCGGACAGGGAGTTTAGGGAAGCCAAACTGAGTTGGAGCTGACTGGAAACATGACTGTATGTGCTTGGGCTCAAATGTAGGGGAATACTTTTTTGCTGGGCAATGTATATTTGTTTGCTATTGATTCATTACTGAGTAAAAATGTTTTAGAGTTTAATTAAATTGAATATTCAAGTAAATGGTAGCATTCTTAAAAAGCAATATTCCTTTTGTTTTACTTAATTGTGCATAGTTCCATTGTATGGAGTCTTCGGGTGGGCCACAATGATGCTCTGTTGCACGTTACGTTTTGGTGTGCGTCATCAGTCATATGACATGCCATAGACCGCTGTGCTCACCAGGGCACAATTTTCGGTAGTATTCCACACATGACATCAAGATGGTGTGTGAGCTCTATGTGCAGCCAAACTATCAGTATATGTTTATATGTGCGCCATCATTAAGTGGATGTGAAAATAAGAAATCTCTGCCAAGTGTAGGTTGTAGTCAGCAGGCAGATGTACTTGTTCTGTTTGCTCTGAGGTACTGTCAGTGTTGGTCACGGCAGTAGTAACAGAAGAAACGTGTCGTCCTAAATGATTACATCTCAGGCTGTTCCAGATGTGTTCAGATGAAATGTGTATCTGAGCCCCCAGCTCAGGGGTAGGTAACCTTGGCACTTCAGCTGTCGAACTGCAAGTCCCCTGAGGTATTGCGAGACTGAAAGCCACAGACACGATTCTGAGAGGAAGTTGTGGCTGCCATTTTGTGGCATGTCACATGAATAAAGCTGGCCGTACACTGGTAGATGTTCGTACAAACGTTTATTGGAAAATCCCCATCATAACATTTGATAACGCCATCAGAGACTTGGCAAATGTTGTCCCAAATGTTTTCAATTTGGAATGAATGCAGTTTGCTGAAGGAAAACCACATTCACTGTGTAAATTTTCCATTCTGTTCTTTTTGATTTTTTTTTTTTTCTGTCATTGTGGTCAAAAACGAATGTTGATTTGACCCCATTAACTATTAGAAAATTGACCGAACGTTCTGAAAACCAATTTATAGGAACAGAATTTTACTGGTGTATGGCCAGCTTAAGAACTTATAACCTCCTGTAACCTAAGGCGCTGGGGATTGCTGAATACAGACATCAGGAATATTGCTGGTTTGTAGGTATTGTTAGGTTAAAGTTGTATTAAACTCTCAAACTTTTCAACAATGAATCTAGCTCAAACAAATGAACTTCCTGTCCAGTACAAGATCACAAGGGACAGAGCAGACTCCAGCAACTGTTCATCTACTAGCTTGGAGAAGGGAGCGGAGGGGAGTAGCTCTATTTGCTGTGTTTGTGGAGAGACGCACAGCTTACTAGTGCACACAAGGGTGGCTCCATAGGACCCTGAAAAGAAAAAGAGACACCCTAGAACAGGAAGTCAGTACCAGTGCTCAGGGGACCAGCTAATTCTGCAGGCAACTCAAACTTTTAAACATCAAGGAGCAGCAGCTATTGTAATTGATTTCATAGGCATTTGAAATAGCTTAAAGCTCTTTTGGCTTCACTTGCAATAATAGCACAGCCTTCAGAATGGCTATGTCCAGTGTTTTTGGTGACAGGTACACTTTAAAGCAAAAGTGTAATTCTGTGGGAGAGGTATGACTGACTGGTGACTGACTTTTTCCACAAAGAATTGGCACACTGACACATTCTAGCATTTAGAACAGTCTGTATCCTTACCCTGTTTGAAGTAATTAAATGTTCAGTGTTGCTTTGTGAATTGGATAATTAGATGTTCCAGTACACAAGAGTTCAGAGTTTGGCAGTATATTAACTAGCCGAGGCTGTGTTTGTACAGCCCAATGTGAAGCAGTCAACCTGGTTTTACCTATCTCCCTCCCCCTCTTTTCCCAGATAGCCGCACACAGGCATAATTGCCTGGCACCAGCATTCTTCTTTGGAAAGCTCCAGAACTTGCCTGTGCAAACTGGCCGGCCTAGCTCTCTGCTTTCAGTGCACTCACTGACTTTGCTCTTCAGAGTCCCACGTGACCCTTTATTACAGGCAGCAAGTTCTAACAAGCTGCTGAGAAGTCCTGCTGAAAAGTTGCTTTATATTTAACTCCTTCAGGAATCTAATGGCCATGATGTATATTTGTGTTGAAAGAATAGCGGCATCTAGCACAGAGGTATGCAAACTCCGGCCCTCGTAGCTGTGGTGAAACTACAAATCGCATCTTGCATCGGCCTCTGGGAGTCATGCCTGTGGCTGTCAGTCTTGCAATGCCTAATGAGATTTGTAGTTCCAAAGCAGCTGGAGGGCCGGAGTTGGCATACCCATTATCTAGGGGATTCTATTGATGCAGAAAAACGTTTTCTTCTTAGATAGAACACCAGCTTCCCAGGCAATCAGGGGGCAGGTTATGACCCACCTCCCGGCTTCCTGATAATCCGGGCCCATGGATGCCTGTATCTGTATTCTGTATCCGCAAGTACTGAACAAAAAAATATCGGTACTACACCCTACATAGTTTCTACAAAGTTTGGGCTTGAAGATTATTTTATTTCTTTATGTGCTTAAATCAACTTATTTATTTATTTTTCACAGCTTAAGATGCTTAAACGTATCCGCCAATAATTTGGAAATGCTTCCAGCAGCGTGTCAGTCTGAAGAGACACCGAGCTCATTGCAAGAGCTTTATGTGACCAATAATAACCTGACTGACAAGTGTGTGTCCTTGCTAACTGGACATCCCCATCTGAAGATTCTGCACATGGCCTTCAATCACCTACAGACCTTTCCAGCCAGGTTTGTGGTGTTTCTGGATTATTTCCCATGCGTTTTGATTCACTGATCTGTCTCTTATAGAAATATGTCTCATGAAGTGACTATCGTAAAGTGTAAAATGCCTGCAGCTGGGATCAGATTTTATTTTTATTTTTTTTCTTTCAAAATGTATACAAAGGCAGTGATGTAAAAAAAAAAACCTCTGGTAACAAATATTCACAGTACCTTTCTGCAGATCACAGCAGTATCTTCGGTTAGTGGTATGGTGCAGTTTCCTTAAAGGAGAATTATGAGGTGAGTGCTTTGCACTCAGCCTCATAATCTGAGCCGACCTGTGACAATGAAACTGTCACAGGTCGGCTCAGTAGATCAGTTAGTGAGCGAGCACATACCGGCGCTCGCTCACGTCTCGAGCTATCCCCGCAGGTGAGCCGTGACAGGGGAGTGGCTGGATTCCCCCCTCCCGTGTCCGATCCTCCAGCGCTGACTGGCGGAACGGACGGGGGAGGGGGCGCATACAGCTGGCTCTCTAGATAGGCAGAGCCAGCTGTCACTCAACCAGCTGGGTGTATCCAGACATAAATGTCGGGATCTGTTTCATCTGCGGCATCTCGGTATAGTGAGCTTTCGCTGACGTGAGGACGCTAGTTTGTGTCCTCCCGTTACCCTTCGGAGAACTATGGGGAAAAGCCCTAACCCCATAGTTCTCTAACTGTTGGATTCTGACCAAGAATACATATTAGCAGACTGATTGGAAGATGAATATTGCATGTTGTGGGAATGCAGGCAGCCGCCTCTTTCCAATAGTGGAAAGGCTTAGGACAGTGCTGCAGCAAGTGGATCACATCCTCTTGCGTCCCGCCACATCTGGTCCAATTAGGATTGGATCTACAGTACACGTTGTTGCAAAGGTGCCCATACACCCTTCGATTTACGTTCGGAAATAGTCCAGGAATGGTCTTTGGAACGATAATCGATCAGTTGATGGGACACCAAAGATTTTAATTACTGTAATTCTGGATGAATTTCCTCGATCGGTCAAGCTTGATTTTTTTTTCGAATCGTATGAAAATGAATGGGTTAGTGGCGTTTTCGTACGAAAAAATCGCAGCAAGAACACCGCACGTGCGCAAACGAAAATCTGTTCTGTCGACCGACAATATTCAGTGAGTTAGTATTGCTAACGAACGATTATCGAAATCGACATTGGCCTCTGCTTGGTGGGCTATTTGAGCAAGAATCGAACGGGGGTTCTTGGCAGCAATGAATTTCCAATCCAAAAATCTATAGGTGTTATGGCTAGCTTAAAATGGTGGCGGGAGGGTTACAAGAACTATGCGTTATAGAGTGGTGTCAGCTTACAAGATTGTTTCCATGAATTTGTAGCCATTGTGTTGGTCCTGAGTCCACTTCTTTTTTAGCTTTGGCTACGGTTAGGATTTTTAACTAATAAATATTCTTCTAGTCTTGTGTACTGCTAATTATGTTTTTAAAAAGTGTGTTTTCTCAATTGCAGTAAAAAGTTGCAGTTGAACTTCACATTCCTTGTTTCTCTGTCTTCTTGGCAAATAATTACTACTTTTTTTTTTCTTTACATAGCAAAATGGCCAAACTGGAAGAGCTGGAAGAGATAGATATCAGTGGAAACAAACTGAAAGCCATACCAACCACCATCATGAACTGCAGACGTATGCACACAGTCATCGCCCACTCCAACTGCATAGAAGTCTTCCCTGAAGTTATGCAGCTCGCAGAGATCAAGGTCAGTGAAGTTTTATCACACTGTGTTAAAGTCCAAAAAAAGCTGATACTTTGCATCTGTTAAACTGCAACTCTGAAACGGCAGTCAGCCGCATGAAAGCAATACTGACGTTCCTGTTCTACTTTGTAGTATAAAAGCAATGCCACAGGCATATATTTTCCTTCTCTCCACTTTCATTTTTTTTTTTTTAAATGGTTAGAATGGGGGATGCAGAGCTCGACAAGTTATAATAAAAACAACAAAAAAACAGGAGCTGTGTATGCAGAATCACATTTCCTGTCAAGGAATCGGACTAATAACACTGACATCAGAGTTCCCTTACTACAAAAAAAACGACTCTAAAATAACTTTTTTTTTTTTTTAGCCTGATTCACACCTACGAGATAGTATTTTTGCGCATTAAAAACCTCTGTTTTTAAGAGCAGATTGTGGCACATTTAAATAAATGGACCATACGGATACAAAAACACGCACACTAAATGAAACGCACATTTTCAAACGTTTCCTATTTGTCCAAAAAGAGCTGAGATCTGACCCAAAGAAGCTCATGTACTTTTTCCAGCAACAGGCATTTTGCTTATTGTGACAAAACACTCAGATGTGCACAGGGGCCATAAGAATGACTAGGACTTTTTGGGTGAAGCAATTTGTCACGCTGAATCAGCTGCGACAATACGCTGAGTGTAAACCACTCCGTAGGGCTGAAAGCTTTTCTAAACCCAATATAATTTGAGCTCATTTGTCTTGAGGTGTTTACTGTATTCGTTTTCTGTTTTTCAGGCCTTCTCCCCCTTTTTTCATCTAGTTATCCCCTAATAAGACTTCCTGTCTGTGGGTGGGATACTCCAATGTATCTGTGGAGGGAGCAAAGGTTGCCACCCAGGCTGGACTTTGAACATGTCCGCTCATGTTTATTTCCATTACGGGGGTGGTGGGATTAGTAGTTTATACAACTGTTTTTGCTTCCAGGTCATCTCACAGGAATTGACAAGGACACTGCATTTCTAACAACAGTTATTTTCTGTACTTGTTAAAAATGCTTTTGGCCTTTAAATGAAAACCAATGCAGCCACCACATGTAAGGACTGGGAAGCTGTAGTATATTACATTTTTATTATTAAGTTTAGTTCTACCTAAAGCCCAACACCAGGGAAATTACAAGGTTTCCCTTGCAGTTGGGCCGCCCCTGCACCGCAAGGGTTAACTGCTAGTTTATGCCTTAGGGACAGGAAAAAGCTCTTTTACTTACCTGATTCCCCTCTCACCCAGAAGTCGGTGCTCTGCTCTTCTCCCCTCCACTCCGGCTGTGGACTGTCCCTTGGCATCCTCGCGTACAGTGCAGACCTGTGAAGCCTGTATTGTACTTTAGACTGCCCAAGCAAAGTGGAGAAGATGCATCGAGGACCGGTCTAGGAGCCCGGAGGGAGTTGGCAAGAGTGGGGATCCGGTAAGTAAACCAGCTTTTTTTTTTTTTTCTCCTGTCCCTAGGAAGTAAAGGAGACGTTAACCCTTGCAGTGCAGGGGCAGCCTCACTGCAAGGGAAAACTTCATTTCCCTGGAGTTGGACGTTAAGTCTGTTTTTAGGAAATTCCAGAAAACATGACCTGTTTGGTGGTACTTGAGAATGGATTATACACCCCTAAAAATGTGTATGCACATTTGACTGGGGGTTGTGGGGGGTCAATTAAAAGTCCCTGAATTCATATAGGCAGAAACACAAATGTAATAGTTACATAAAAAGTGTCTTTTGGATAATTTTACAGTAACACGAAAGTGCTTATTGAGCAAGGACTGCAAAGTGTTAATGTGGTCTTTATAGACTGCTAATACTGTTTGAACTTCTGTTATGATGTTTCATGACGGGTTATGCAGTAGCAAGACTCTCTGACCTACATTATTTTATAATAATCTAAGAAGGCTTGTATTTTATAATGTTTAACTTTATTGGCTTTCCTTTCCAACACATTCTTACAGTGTGTGGACTTGAGTTGCAACGAACTGAGTGAAATCACATTGCCTGAAACTCTCCCTCCCAAGCTACAAGAACTGGACTTGACTGGCAATGCAAGGCTGCTGTTGGATCATAAAACCCTGGAGCTGCTTAAGTGAGTGGCCTTTGCTTTGTCATGTGATTTTCCACTTGATATTGCAGCATATGACAGTACATTAGGAAAAGCATACAATACAGCTGGGGGCAAGCACTACTTTTACTGAGAAATACAGCTGTATGGCATAATTGCACAGTTATTATGTAATGATACCTGGAACTCAATGTGAACTGAACAGAAAAGACTAATGTTGCTTTTCGACCTTCAGTGCCTTTCCTGAGGAAAAATTGCAGAAGTGGTTCTATTTCTTTTAACCTATTTAGAAAGAAATGATTGTATGCATCTAGCTGTATTATATGTCCAAATTGTATTTTGATTATTAAATATTTTCAAAGCCAACCTGCACATATTTAAAATGTTAAAAGCAGGCGCTAAAAAAAAGAGGCACAATTGCAGATTTTGAAGATCTGCTCAAGATCTGGTCTGGACATGGTGTGAACAAGCCCTTTGACAACTTGAGTGTAGTGGACTGCCATGCTTTGCAATAGTCTGTTTCATGACTGTTAGAACATGTGTCATGAGAGTGAACTGACGGTTCTAAAACCAGATGGTCTTATAATTTAGTGCCTCACCACGGTTCATGATTTTATGGTTTTGGAGCAAAGTATGAAGCATGTCCTAGATCCTTTTCCACAATTCCCAAACTACTAGACAGGTCCATTATGTGTGTAAAAAGGTTCCTAACCCTGAAACATCCCTGAAAATGGTTTCAGTGGGCTGGGTTGAGGTGAGCTAGCCGAGTGAGTACAAAGTACCACTTAAGTAATACTAACAGGGTGAACAACTAACAAAAGGGTGAAGAGTTTGGAGAAGGCAGGAGAAGTGAACAATCTAGGACAACATAGTTGAACTGAAAATTGTGAGCTGAATTGGAGAATTTTTCAAATTCAACTATGTTGTCCTAGATTGTTCACTTCTCCTGCCTTCTCCAAACTCTTCACCCTTTTGTGAATAACCCAGTTAGTAATTTGTTTTTGGAGCACATGCCTTTTTAGGACCTGGGTTTGGCCGTGCTCCAGGTTTGTGACCACCTTTCGGGTTCTAGTGTTATCTGCAGTCTATTTTTCCATGTAGTTTTGTTGGTGGCGGGAACCCCTGGAGAAGTAAAGTATATCACAAAGAGATCATGTCCGGGGAGTGGCGATGGTCTTCATTTAATTTCTGTGTGAATGTCAAGCCTGAAGTTGAGACCTGGACCATTGAGGCAGCAAAATTTTGTTTCAAAATCTAAAAATTTGTAAAATGGAAAACTTTTTTTTTTTTTTAAATCTCTGGATAGAGTGGTGAGGTAGACACCTGTTTGGAGGACAACTGTTTAGGCTGGTAATTCCCCTCACTTTCGGAGATCTCCAACTTTCTATTGTATCTCTGTGGCAGAAAGTGAAGGGAAATTTCCCCAATGGCATGCAAACAGCAAAACATAACAAAATAACTTGACAGGACTCTTAACCTTTCCCTATTCTATCCAAAACAAAAAAAGTTTTGGTTTTACAAACACTTTACTCATTGCTACCCACTTGGTGTCTACATAATTGAAACTATTGAAATAAACATGCTATGAGGTATTTTTTTGGCAGAAGATAACTGTAAGGCTAATGTACCGAGAATTCATGTCTACTTCAAAGTAAGCAGACAATAGAAATATGAGCATGGCCATTCAGCCCTTGCCGGGCGTTGCAGTAGGCTGTTTAGTTAGGGATGGGATTGGACTGTTAATGGGCTCTCATATTCTCTATTTGGGATGAGACCTCCATACATTTATCTCTTGAAAGAAGTCTTTGTAAATTGTTCTTATTTACACACAGGCCCTTTGATGCAATGTGTTTTCTGTTTGTTTTTCCGTTACAAGTGAAGGGGTTAAGTATCCCAACTGCATGTAACTTTTTTAAGTCCTGAACTAGTCAGTGATACAATTACTTGTTGTAGAAACTTTCCTCAGCAGCAGTGATTATAGGTCACCTTTGTGGAATTGTACCCTGGTCACCGGACTCCTCTGTCATGAATTATTCTTTATTCTATACCTGACTGACGCAGCAAAATCAGGATTGGTGTTTTGTAATGATACACCTGGTGCTGCAGTATACTATAATTATGTACCAAATGATGTCATAACATCTGTGTTCATAGATTGTGTCTCATAAAAGAGACAAATGATCTCTGACCCTGCTGTGTTTTCCCCCTTGCAACAGACCCTGGTATTCTGTATGGCTCATTTACATACCCTTTTATCACCTCTCAGAACACTTGTTCTGGTGGTGTTTGGCATCTGGGTTTTAAAGGAACAATGTCCCAAATCAAATTGTTCATTAAAAACCAATAACTTGGAAGTCACTTCACTAATATTTGACTCTAAGCTGTGTTTTATCTGTTTTTATCTTAGCAGTAACATTCGATGTTTCAAAGTGGATCAGCCTACATGTGGATTTTCTGCCAATGAAGCATCTGGAGCCCCTGCTGTTTGGAGCCACGGATACACAGAGGCCTCAGGAGTCAAGAACAAGTATGTTCCATCATGCATGCATAGACCAAGTTCATACCTCCCTCTGGAAGCCTTCAGCAGCTTGGGTTACATTTGTCAAGACAAAACTCTTGCAACCAGCACATATTTTCCATTTAGATGATAAAGGTGGCATTAATTATTTAGTGGCGCAGAAGAGGGGGCCCAGCAGTTCCACTAGTGTGACCCGGTTTAGGTTCCTCTCAAGCCCAAAAGGCTTTGAGATTCTGTCAATTAAAATTAGCTATGGCTGTCTATTTGGTCAGTAGAACCAGTCGGAGTCCCTGCCCCTGCAGGTTTCAACATATGGGCATCATCATGAGTGGTAGATAACACCTGTAGCCACATTTAAATGTAAAGTTTCTGCACTTTTATCAGTCGAAGAATTGTCTCTCAGTTGAGAATGTTATAGCAGTTTGTACATTTGAGCTTGAATGTGGAAATGTACTGAATTGTAGACTACATATTTTGAGTTCCTCGTGTTTTGCCACATGAAACTTGAGTCTGGGAACAGCAGAGCAGGTCACAACTTCAGGTACTATGTTGCCCTTTCTTCTTTTCCTTTGTTGGCAGCGGTTGCTATGAGACCCAGTGTAAGCGATGTGGTCTGCCTTCACAGCAGTGTGTATACTGCTGCAAGGACAACCCAACATTTCATCTTCATTCATTGATGGCTGAAATGTTCTGCTTTCAAGTGTCGGAACAGAATGATGTCAGCTAGGAGGAATGTTAACTGCTTGCCTGCCACCTGCTCTAGAGGGTTTCACTAAACTATATTCCCACAGGACCCGTCCAAGGTCCTGTGGGAAACTACCTTTCCTTTTGTACTTGTTATGGAAATAGAGGTTTAGCAACATCAGTTCGGAAAACTCGTGGGGAAAAAAAAGTATACATATTGTATGTTTTAAATGTGGTATTTAATGGGTTTTGCTTTTGTGTCCATTGTATTTTGTAGAATCTAGATAAATATCAAGTCTGTTCCTAAATGTAGTTCCGTTTCTTCATATCTTCAGGTTATGTGTTGCCTCCCTTTTGGTTAACAACTTCTGTGATAACCGAGAAGCAGTGTATGGTGTGTTTGATGGAGAGCGTAATGTAGAGGTGCCTAGCTTACTACAGTGTACGATGTGTGACATACTGGCAGATGAGCTTCAGAAGACCAAGAGTGAAGAGGAATATATGGGAAACACCTTTCTCGTCATGCAAAGGTAATCTTCATACATTTCCACTTCTCATCATAGTTTTTTTAACCTGTGAGCTATAAAAAACAAAAGGAAAAAATGTTGACACTTTGTATTAAAATGTGAACGCTGTACTTTATATATGTTGTGCCTCTTATTTGGTAGTGATGCCCAACTAGCAGTTGGCACGCAATTGCAGAGCAGTGCAAAACAATATGGGTGATATATAAATATTTCCATCTTTACTTTTTCATTCATCCTGTCTTGCAAAGGCAGTGATGCTATCTTAGCCTAGCAACACTTCTTTAACCCTTTTACTGTCTAAACTTTAGGCTATGTTCACACCATGTCCGGAGCAGTGCGTTTTTGCCGCTTTTTAATTATTATTTTTTTAGCCTAAAATGGGCTATAAGGTGCAATCCAGTGCGTTTGCATGTGTTTTTGATGTGTTCAAGTGCAATCCAGACCATAGAAAGTAAGAGGAGCAGTATTTTTATTTTATTTTTTTCATCTGGACTGGAACGGACTGCGCTGGTGTGAACAGAGCCCTGAAATGCCATAGGGATACATTGGGATGCTTTTTTTTTTTGTTCCAGGAACAAATTGTTCTGGTTTGGATATGGTGTAAACAAGCCCTAAGGGATACAGCAACGCTCATGGTCACTTTAGTGAACACATACTACAGCCGCTGGGACTGTTTCCTTGTGTAAAGCTGACTGTCAGCTTTACACTGGAAGCGATTCTGGAGGCTGAGCTGCCACCAGATCTCTCGCAGGGGCCTGACACCATTGCCTTGCTTTTCGGTCTCTTCTGCCCCTCCTGCAGGAGACTAGCAAAAATCCATTTGCCGATCTCCTTCCTGCTGAATGAGGCCGAAAGCGACGCTGATTGCATCACCTTCCGTCTCTTGGATGTCATTCTCTGACTAGAGAAGATCTAACAGCTTCTTTGGAGTGAAAAGGTGTCACTAGGGGTCTAATAGGCCCCTTAAGTTACCTTGAAGAGCACCTGTCTCCACTAGTACGTTATCAAATAGGGGGCTTGTGAGACCTCTTGTGTGATGGCAATGAAGTAAAAAAAAAAAAAGTTAAGTACATGTACAAATGTTCCCACGAGCGTACATATATTATACGTATAAACATAGGCTGGGTGCGCCTACATACAAAAAAAGGCTACACATGTTAGAAGAGACTTATGTGAATGTGCAACTATGTAAAGCGCTGCGTAAATTGTCCGCTCTATAGACACACCTGTAATAAATTGTGTGCAAAAACAACAAAAAACACCTTGGCAGTGAAAGAGTTAAACAAACCTTCTGTGGCAATGTAAGGTCCTCTCTATTGAAAGCCTCGCACCCCCAAAAGTTTTGAAATAGCCTGCAAAGGCGATTTAAAAATAAAGCTGTCACTCTGGGAGGCACAGGTGACATCACCATGCCTTACTGCTGACTTCTGGGATAGCTGGATGCTCTAAATAGGAGGTCCTTTAACATTTAAAAAAAAAAAAAAAAAAGCCTGTGAAAAATCAATTGCAACAATTAGGAAATATGCCCTGTGAAAAAACACATGCAGCCTGTTATCACTGTAGTGCATTTGGACTTGGACAGACTGTAAAGAGGCTGCGGAATAAAGGATTAAAAAATAGGTAAAACCCTTTCCTCCCCACACCCCAATATTCTCAAAGATGCCTACCTACAGGACACTCCTGTAGACTAGTAAGGGTTTACACCTACTGTAACAGACCGGTCAGTGCCAACAAGCTGTACTCTAATCTCTCCCTATATACCATATCAGCTAATTCTTTCCTTATTACAGCTAAAGCACATTGGCTGCTGTGACCTCACCTATTTATAGTGAGGGGGCGGGCTTAGCTAAATTCTTCTTATTGGACCTTCTAAGGTAGGTAGCCGAAGTTCAAAGCTAAGGCAGTGCATTATGGTCACTATGGAGAATTCCCACATTATTTTGCCAGCTCTATGAACTTCGGCCATGCAGGATTTTATCACAAAACTCTACCGTTTTATTCTTTTATTTTTTACATATATTATTGGAGTTTATGTTGTATTTGTGTGCACTAAAATATCGGTTTGAAAACAGTTGTGCAAATATTGTGTGACAAACCAAGTCCTTTTCAAGCCAAAAATGCAGATTTAAGTATGTGCAAAAAAAATGGAAACATTTGTTCCACAATCAAGAGGACTAACCCTTTCGCTGCCACCAACGTAAGGCTTATGGCGGAACACAACTGCTGGCCAGCTCAGTAAGCCCTAGGTCGGTGGCTTTTACTTTTCTGCCGGTGGCTTTTACTGGTCTACACCAGAACAGTTCCCCTGATGGTCCGCTGTAAAATAATAGCTGTCATGCTGAGAGCTATTACCAGAAATTCTGGGCACCCCAACCCCAGCGGATCACTCCAGTGTTTGTAAACAACTGGGGGCACAGTACTATACTGCTTTACATCACATTCCTGTTCATTCATTAGTTTCTCAATGGGTAGAAGCACTCACTACAGAGGTGTCTACCCATTCATAACTGGATGATGATAAAACATTTACTATCACCAGTTATGAATGGGAAGCCTCTGTACTGAGTGCTTTCCATTCATTGAGTGCTGAGTTGTTAGAATGCATCACAGTGCTTGTTTTGTTTTTTTAAATAATTTAACTGTCGCATTGCCGTTCGTTGTGATACACTGTGTTTCAATTTAAATATACGCCTGTATCATTTTATCACAAGACAAACACCAACACTGTACACAAATGATTTTTAACATAAGTCGCTTATGTAAAGTTTTGCATCTTCTTCTTTTTTTTTTCCATATTTGTTATTAACCGAATACAGTTTTTTATCTTTTAGGTTTAGTTGTAAAAAAATGTTTTGTGCACCGACACTGATTTTAGTTTGCTTTTGTCAATTGTGTATTTCTATCAGTTTTTTTATTGATTTGATAAACATTTGCGCAATTATCGCAGGGCCTACAAAATTAGTAGCACCATCTTTTTATTGTATCGGGCCTGTGCTTTCAGAAAATGTATGGTTTGGGGGGTCTATTACAAACGCCAACAACGCAGAAGTAGAAAATCAAAACAATGGGAAAAATTGCAAAAATGCTGTGGCCAGCTGAGGTTAAAAGCTTGGAAACGAAAGGGTTAAAAGGAAATTGAATGTACTGGAATTAATTATCATTAGACATTAACCACAAAATACAATTTTGCTATAGTTTCCATCAAATGGATATTTGTTCCTTCCTCCATTCCCCCTATATCATAGCTACCTTCTGTATCCCTCTTTCATCAGCCTTTTTAGACCTCTGCATAGAGTCAGTTGTACACACAGAGAGACAGAGCCATGTGGAAATGAATGTTCTATTCTTTCTGAAAAACAAGAAAACTGATTTAAGTACAGCTGTTACAGATCAGATCTGTATTAATTAAATTGACCTTTTTATCTACTGCAGCCCACAGTCCAGTCTAGAGTGTAATGCCTATTTATTAGGACAGCAATTATTTCCGTGTCTCTGGTCACAAATAAATGAGTGTATACACTCATACGCCAGTCATGTGACACAGGAAGTAAAGAACCATTTGACAGAGTTATCCTGCCTTTTATTTTTTGTTGAACAGTGTTTATTCAGAAACTAAAAGATATAGGTCTACAGTTCTAACTTTGTCACTTGTGCTCTTTCATCACCATATATTTTCTGATTTTAACAAGCAGTTAGCTTTTTTTTAAGCAAAGCTTGCAATGACCTAGTTAGGATTAGATGTGTAGGGCTTATAAAAAGATAACAAAAAAATAACACTTCCAACCATTGTAATTGCTCATTACTACACACAAATTTTAATTTGTTGAACATTCTTTTTGTGAACATAGGCCAATCATTTTCTTTTCTTTGGAGAAAAGATTACCATGTGTGCCATATCTATCCATTGGGCGAATTTTGAAGAGTGACCGCAGTACATCTTTGTTGGGTAAAATAATGTGTTTTAGTAGGGTTGTACTGCCCCGATATACATTGCCCTGTGGCCTGTATACAGCTCAACCTGCAGCTAAACCCTCCTATTCTGCAAGCCAGACTGAGTGATCAGATGGTTGAGGTTCCAACTAGGAAAAATGCCAAGTAAATCATTACTTATAATGCGGATATAGTTGAGGATATTGCAATTTGGGAGACACTGGGTAATAGTGATCACAATGTGATTACTTTCAATATTGGGTACAGGAAAGGGAAGTGGGCTGGTCGGACAAGAACCCTAAACTTCAGAAAGGCTAACTTTGATAAGCTACGCCAGCAAGTGTGTGACATCAAATGGGAAACCTTGTTTCACAAACTGAGCACTAATCAGAAGTGGGATTGTTTTAGGAACACATTAAAAAAGGCTATTACCAAGTGTATACCATTGGGTAACAAAAGTAAAAGATCAAAAACTAAGCCTGTATGGATAAATAGAACAGTGAAGCAACACATCAAGGACAAGAGAGTGACATTTAGAAAATATAAGATAGACGGGACGGCATTTGCGTTCCACAACTACAAAGAACTACAAACTACAAAGAATGTTGTGGCCGATTTTGATATCACAGGTAGGTAAGCCAATTATTTCTTCATGCTGGAGGCAGAACAAGGGTGCTTTGCCATTGCATGGCACTTCCACATATAGTTGCAAAACTTTGCATTTGAGGCCTTAGGTTTTTTTTAAATTAGGAACACGTTATAACTGGCATCCCTTGCTGGAGCTGACTGCTTAAAATTGTGTATGTTGTATGGGGCTCCTGTCCTCATGCAACTTCTTTCTTTGTGCTTAGCTGTGTGCTGGGCAGTTTTAAATCTTATACATTTGATGATGGGCATATGTCTCTACTGTTTTTTTTCTTGCTGTTTACAGCTAGCCATTGCAAATCTATTTAAAACTTAAAGCTGAACTCCAGGATATATAACAGACACAGCTGGTCGCCTAGGTTTCAGCTTAACTACTGTTACATTTAATGACATGAGTATGTTTTAAAATACCAAGTAATGCAGATTTTCCAGTTGTTCATTGTAAAAGAATTTAGGACATTTGAGTTAAAAGAGAGCTTCTTCTATGCACTCCCAGTATATCATACATTTGATCAGTTTATACAGTATTTCATGCATATGACATCTACTAATAAAGTATTCTAGATGTCTGGCAAATGTCAGTATTCAATGATGATTTCTGTTTAAACAATTATAACATATTTCTTTGTCAGCATGTCAAGTTCTATTTTCTTTAAAAAGTTTTTCTTATATCACTTTTAATTAAATTAGTGTCGTATTTTAGGATTATGGGCTTATTTAGACAAGAATAGTAAACCTTTTTCTTCTGGTTATTATCATAATGCAATAATTACTATATCCAAAAAATATTGGAATCTTTATGTTGATGTCAAATGTGTGTAGGTAATATAATTATATTTTCATTTCTGTCTACTCCTTACATTACAGAACAGTAAAAATCCCAACTTATACACAGGCTTGACTGAGTTTTTCCAAATTACATCTGTAAGAGTTATTAGTGCCCCATATATACGCCCATTGCCATTCAAACCTGTAAAAATTACAGTTATTAGGGTCAGTTCACACCAATTATGGTGCTGCATTTTTTTGCGTTTCCACTAGGCCGGATCGCAGGCAATGTTTTGCCACCCGTCCGATTGCACTGCGTGGCTGCGGTGCCATTGTCGTCAATGCACCGCCACCCCCCCCTCCTGCCAAAGAATGAAGGAGGGAGTGTAATGTGCGATTATGGTGCGTTCCAGCAGCTACCACTCTGGAACGCACCGTAATTGGTGTGAACTGGCCCTTAGACAGCACGCTAATTTAATATCATTGCAAGGGGTTGTAACGTCCAAGCATATACTATTCTGTTATAACATCATCATTGTAATAGGAATACATACTACAGTTGTTTATGTAATACAATCAAAGCTTGCTTGAAAAAATCCCTTTTATGTAGTGAGTGCTGCCTTCTGTCTGCCCATCACTTTCATCAACTTCCTGGATTTCCAGTGTGCTTTGTATCCCTTTCTCTGCTGCTTAACATCATGTAATCTGGATTTCTCAAGACTATATATCCAATCATGCATTGCTTCCAGTAAGCAACAATAATGTTTCATTGTTTACATGTTGAGTTGTAGTTCAGAAGGCAGGTTCTGTGAGAGTGGTAACACAAGGAAGAGCATGTTCACAGGGATGAGAAAAATGGTGTCAGTGCATTGATGAAGTACATCCTATGGGCATCTTCATCAAGTAACTTTACAAACTTACAGATTTATATGGTTATTAGAAGTGGGATAGAGTTCATGGAAATTCAACATAGAAATATATATTTATTTATAGTTTTTGACCATAGATGACCTTTAAGGATATAAATGGCACAATAATAAGGGCCACAGCAGTTTCAATGATTGGATCTTGGAGGAGTAGGAATCTTGCACTGCGCACTGTGCACTGCCTACTTCCTCCAACTTAGTACTTGCCCTATCTTGGATAGGTCATTTTCCTTTTTTTCAGTTGTTATTCTGTAATCAGTAAGACAATTGAGCCACAAATACCACTAGACTAAGCTGTTCATGCAATAAGTGATTGAGTTGTTGAGCTGTGGGGGTAAATTATTTTTCATTTGAGGCCATTGTATGCATAAAAAAGTCCAAGAGCACGATATTTCAGTGCTTAATTTTTTTTTAATTTTCTGCCTTCAAATGTATTTAAAAAAAATATATATTCTTTGTTTAACATTTAAAAAAAAAAAAAAAAGCCTGTGAAAAATCAATTGCAACAATTAGGAAATATGCCCTGTGAAAAAACACATGCAGCCTGTTATCACTGTAGTGCATTTGGACTTGGACAGACTGTAAAGAGGCTGCGGAATAAAGGATTAAAAAATAGGTAAAACCCTTTCCTCCCCACACCCCAATATTCTCAAAGATGCCTACCTACAGGACACTCCTGTAGACTAGTAAGGGTTTACACCTACTGTAACAGACCGGTCAGTGCCAACAAGCTGTACTCTAATCTCTCCCTATATACCATATCAGCTAATTCTTTCCTTATTACAGCTAAAGCACATTGGCTGCTGTGACCTCACCTATTTATAGTGAGGGGGCGGGCTTAGCTAAATTCTTCTTATTGGACCTTCTAAGGTAGGTAGCCGAAGTTCAAAGCTAAGGCAGTGCATTATGGTCACTATGGAGAATTCCCACATTATTTTGCCAGCTCTATGAACTTCGGCCATGCAGGATTTTATCACAAAACTCTACCGTTTTATTCTTTTATTTTTTACATATATTATTGGAGTTTATGTTGTATTTGTGTGCACTAAAATATCGGTTTGAAAACAGTTGTGCAAATATTGTGTGACAAACCAAGTCCTTTTCAAGCCAAAAATGCAGATTTAAGTATGTGCAAAAAAAATGGAAACATTTGTTCCACAATCAAGAGGACTAACCCTTTCGCTGCCACCAACGTAAGGCTTATGGCGGAACACAACTGCTGGCCAGCTCAGTAAGCCCTAGGTCGGTGGCTTTTACTTTTCTGCCGGTGGCTTTTACTGGTCTACACCAGAACAGTTCCCCTGATGGTCCGCTGTAAAATAATAGCTGTCATGCTGAGAGCTATTACCAGAAATTCTGGGCACCCCAACCCCAGCGGATCACTCCAGTGTTTGTAAACAACTGGGGGCACAGTACTATACTGCTTTACATCACATTCCTGTTCATTCATTAGTTTCTCAATGGGTAGAAGCACTCACTACAGAGGTGTCTACCCATTCATAACTGGATGATGATAAAACATTTACTATCACCAGTTATGAATGGGAAGCCTCTGTACTGAGTGCTTTCCATTCATTGAGTGCTGAGTTGTTAGAATGCATCACAGTGCTTGTTTTGTTTTTTTAAATAATTTAACTGTCGCATTGCCGTTCGTTGTGATACACTGTGTTTCAATTTAAATATACGCCTGTATCATTTTATCACAAGACAAACACCAACACTGTACACAAATGATTTTTAACATAAGTCGCTTATGTAAAGTTTTGCATCTTCTTCTTTTTTTTTTCCATATTTGTTATTAACCGAATACAGTTTTTTATCTTTTAGGTTTAGTTGTAAAAAAATGTTTTGTGCACCGACACTGATTTTAGTTTGCTTTTGTCAATTGTGTATTTCTATCAGTTTTTTTATTGATTTGATAAACATTTGCGCAATTATCGCAGGGCCTACAAAATTAGTAGCACCATCTTTTTATTGTATCGGGCCTGTGCTTTCAGAAAATGTATGGTTTGGGGGGTCTATTACAAACGCCAACAACGCAGAAGTAGAAAATCAAAACAATGGGAAAAATTGCAAAAATGCTGTGGCCAGCTGAGGTTAAAAGCTTGGAAACGAAAGGGTTAAAAGGAAATTGAATGTACTGGAATTAATTATCATTAGACATTAACCACAAAATACAATTTTGCTATAGTTTCCATCAAATGGATATCTCTTTAGTAGTTTGAAAGTAAAAACCTTTTTGAAAATGTTTTTTTCCGTTTACATTAGGAAGCTGGGAACTGCTGGGCAGAAATTGGGAGGCTCTGCTGTTCTTTGCCACATAAAACATGACGCCATGGATCCAACCAGTTGCTTCACACTGACCTCTGCCAATGTGGGCAAATGCCAAACTGTGCTCTGCAGAAGCGGGAAGCCCTTTAACCTTTCCAAGTGTTACACTGTTAGCTGTGAGGAGGAGCTGAAGCGAGTGAAACAGCACAAGGCAATTATTACAGAGGTGAGGACTTTCTTTTCTAACCTGTCTACCTACAAATTGCCCTGGAGGCCATTGTCTAGGCAATGCCAACCTAAATGATCTGTTTGTGTCATACTCAATGAATCATTTTTTTCTCATGCATCCTGAGCCTGATGGGAGGAAAATTCTTTGGTAGTAGTACAAGGTGATGAGAAATTGGTAAGATCCCTGATGAACTATTAGACCAATGGCTAGGATCATGCAGGAGGAGGACCTGCTCAAAGCAGTCAGGTTTAATATTTGAAACACTATACGTGCTGTTGTGCTGATTGGCAACTCCATCTATCTCTCCAGATTTCATTGTTTCAGGTTTTTTTCATATAATAGCTGTGTTTTTGTAAGATCTTCTCCTACACAACCCAGTGTACAATAGTCAACTTACCAATAGTATTACTGATTGATCCAGTAAAAAAATTCTAACACCATAGAGGAATCTCAGGTGATTATAGATGAAAGTGACTGAAATTTGAAGCAACTCTAATGTATGAATATCAATAAAAGCGCCAATAATTCCATTCAAATGTCACTTTAAATGATTGCATAGCACAGAATGAAGCGTTGCCTGCTATTTACTTAGCGTGAGGTGTAGCACACTGTGACCCTCGGAAATAGAAAGGTTCTGATGAGATGTAAATGAAATGTCAGAGCTGTAGAGATTTGTTGTTGCAGGGCTAGGACATGACGCGTTCAGCACTATTGGAATGAGGTGGAGATGCTCATCCTGTGCTCATGTCCCAGCATCACAAACAACTCTCATTTATCCCGTCGTCCTGTTCTTTGTGATGTTATTTTCTTCCTCTTCTTGCCACCCCCCTCCATCCTGCTCAAAAAGTAATTGGAGCATAAATAACTCTGAGCTGCAGCTGGCTGAATAAAGCCGCTTTTTGAAAATGGCATGCAGAAGTTTTCCTTTAATGCTAGCTTTTAACCTGTACAATGCCTCACAATAAGAATAATGATTTGCCACAGGATAGCGGGCCTAATGATTAAGTGTCTGAGGAAAAATCTGTATTGCCCACGGTAACCACGGTAACCAATCAGATTGTCCCTTTTTGGAAGACTGTAGAGCAGAAAGCCAGAACACGATTGTTGGCCAGCACAGTTCTTTAATGCAGTCAAGTGTACTGCTTCCTATAGGAGCAGAGATCTGAGCAATGTATTTTGTGGACATAAAGCAAGACATGACAAACTTTACTCAGGTGTCCAAATGGGCAGTATTTTATGTCATAAAGGCAGTTCAGTTGTAGCTTTGTTTTTATCACTACAACTATTTGGGTTCCTTGGAGAGTCAAATGACTAATCTGGTTACACTAACAGTCTTTCATGAGTTTAGTTTTAGGGCTAGTTCACACCAAGCGCGTTCCAGGAGCAGAGCAATTTCAGAACTGAGCAAAACTGCATCCAATGTATTCAATGCTTTTTTGGGCTCTAGTTCACAACGCAGCGTTTAGTTCCAGAGCATATAAATAAACTGCAGCATGCCCTATTTTTCCTGCTCTGGAACGCATCAAAAACGCATGCCCGCGCCCTGGAACACACAGTCATTTTTACAAACGGCCCGGAAAGCAATAAACGCAGCAAGACCCACTGCAGATCTGGTCTGCATTTGGTGTGAACAAGCCCTTAATAAATCAGTCACGTTGTCTGTCAGGAGTTGCTGTTTTGTCATTTGCAGAGGAGAGTTGAAGCATAATTTTGTGTTTCCCTCACCTCCTGGTCACCTGTCAATGTTTGTCATTCACTGTAATTATTCAGGTTGTGTATCTGTGTGATATTATGTGCATGTACACTGAGTGGCCAGATTATTATGACCACCCCATCAGTACTTCGTTGGGCCACGAGATGACTCCACGAGATGACTTCGTTGGGCCGCCTAGTGACTCCACGAGATGTTGAAAGGTGATGCGAGGAATCTGACACTGCACTGTTGCCCTTCTGTTGTCTTGTACCAGTCTTGCCACTCTCCGTTCTGCCCTAACATTGACTAGTCGCTGACGGCCACAATTCGCACGTATTTTGCTGATACTCGCTCCATGGCTCCGAGCGCCAACAATCATCCCACGTTCAAAGGCTGTTAAATCGCATTGTTTACCCATATCTTCAGGAAAAAATCACTTCTACTGTCCGGGTAAACAACCTGCTTCCCTATTTATAATGGTCTGGCACTCTAGTAACTTCAGCGCAAAATTATAGCTAATTTGCCTACAAACGTCAGGTGGTCATAATAATCTGGCCACTCGGTGTATATTGTGAGTGATTTGTATGTATTTAAACCAGTGGGTTAGATCCTTCAAGAACGATCTCTCCACATTCCTCCCTTCTTAATAGAAACTGGGACAGAAGCCTTGCCCTTCAGTTCGTATGGCTTGCTACAAGCATCTAAGCTCCATCTAAGTCCCAGATGGGACTGATGTCTATACAGCAGCGGGAGAAATGACAGCTTGAAACCGGAAGTGATGTGATTCACATCCCTTCCGCATTCAGTGATCAGAGGGGAGATCAGCCACTGGAAGGCTGCCGACTCCCACGACCCCTGCAATCCAACCACAGATGCCTGCCATGCGGGTCCTGGGCCTGCACGGAGGAGAGTGAAGCCTGCGATAGCCGGCAAATGGGTGTGGGCAAGGTTAACCAGCTTAGGTTGGCCATACACTGCTCTGGTTTTTTCGCTTAACCCGCAGGCTGAATGAAAAAAATAGAGCAAATTCCTCCATCAACACTACGAGTGTGTTGATTTGAGGAATCCCGCTGTATGCATTGTATTCTGACCCTGGCTGCTGTCAGAATACCCGGCCAGATGAGCTGCTGGCTCTGGTCAAACAAAGATTTTCCAGCCGCCTCCTTTGATCAGCCAATCGAGGGATGCCGGGTAAAAGGGTGCGGACAGCGACGCACACTGTGCAAATTTCAGCCATAGGCACCCTTAGTCCCTCATTATGTTGGTCCACAGCTTGTTTACTTTCAGGTCCCTGGTCATCAGACAGATTTAGAAGTTAGGGAAACCTCTACTTTTTTTTTGGGGGGGGGGTCTTGGTTGGTTAGCGGTTGTTCCTCTGTTGCCCACCCCTCAGTTGGACTGCATTTGAACGTTACAACAATATCTAAATTTCTGTGTCACAAGTAAATAGGATTTTTGTACTTGTTGTATAGTCCTTCTCTTGGAGTACATTGATGGACACAGGTTCCACCCCTCTGTGTTTTGTCGTGCTCTCGGTGTTGCTTGCTGCAACTGAGGCACTCTGGATAGAGAAGAGGTTATCCCAGGAAATGCCTACAATTGCCATTGTTGGTTCCTCCTGTAGAAGGCAGTATAACCTGACATATCTGTAAAAAGTAAGTCAAGGCAACAGGGCTTGCTTATGACGTTTCACTGGTCATCCAACCAGCTTTCTCAATTCAGAATGACTTGTAAAAAAAAAGGCAATCAACACCTGGTTGTGACTAACAGATGTGGATTGGAGCAACATTCATCATATTTATTCCCAGATAATTTTTTGTACAAGTCATTCTGAATTGAGAAAGCTGGTCGGATGACCAGTGAAACGTATTCAAGAACAATACAGCAAGTCCAGTTGCATTGACTTGTTTTGTACAGATATACCATGACCTAGATAAATGAGAACCTTCACAGACAGTATAACCTGACATTATCTGAATTTCTGTGTCCCCTAATGGATTTAAAGAAAAGGATTTTCCACAAAGCACTTAAATCAGTTGTAGCAGACCTCCAGTGTTTTGAAACTACAAATCCCATAATGCATTTCTCTCTGGGAGTCATGGCTGTGAGAATCTTGCAATGCCTCATGGGATTTGTAGTTCCACCATAGCTGGAGGGCCGGAGGTTTGCTACCCGTGACTTAAATGCTAATATTTACAATGAATCCTTGTTACCTTTTATGAATTGGCTTTTTACTTCCATTTATGGCTCATTTTACTGTGGCCCTCAATACTCCTGAGTTAGCTTCACTAGCAGAAGCTAGGGGCATTTGAAGAAGAAATAGCCTTTAGTTATCTTTGTGAATGATCATTCAAATGTATGGAAGAATCCAGACAACTTGAGGTAACCACTTTTGTGACCATGAAGTAACCACTTAAGTTAAATGTGTATTTCTGCACAATGAAAACGAAGTGGCCTCATAACATATAAGTATCCTACTCGTAGTATATCATCTGATCGGTTAGTAAAACGCAGTGTTGATTTCTGTTGATAGTATTGTACTGTGTATACTTACTAGTTCATTTTATATCTAATTGAATGATTAATATGTGTGTTCTCCTGCAGGATGGTAAAGTAAACGGAGTGACTGACTGTACACGTATTTTGGGATACACATTTCTCCATCCTAGTGTTACTCCAAGGCCTCATGTTCAGTCGGTTGCACTAACACCTCAAGATGAATTCTTCATTCTTGGAAGCAAGGGATTATGGGATAGCATCTCCGAGGAAGAAGCTGTTGAGGCCATCAGAAATGTGCCAGATGCATTGGCGTCTTCCAAGAAGTTGTGCAGCTTGGCCCAGAGTTATGGCTGCAGCGGGAGCATATGTGCGGTAGTTGTTCAGCTGAATGTTGCAGAAGACTGCTTCTGCTGTTGTGAACTGAATGGTGGCATTCCCCCACCCAGCCCAGGGATCTTCACACCTTCTGTCAATGTTATTAAGGACCGTGCCCAAGACAGCTTAGGCATGCCATCTTCGAGCAGTGGCCTGGCTTCAGAAATCAGCAGTGAGATTTCCACCTCTGAGATGAGTAGTGAAGTTGGGTCCACAGCCTCTGATGAACCTCCTGCAGTTTCCCTTCATGAGAATGGCGTTGGCCCTGCAGGATGCCTGAGTGAACAACGCTGTACATTGCATCCCGTTTGTCTTTCTAGCTCTTTTCAACGACAGCTGTCCAGTGCCACTTTCTCCAGTGCCTTTTCGGACAATGGTCTCGACAGTGAGGATGAGGAACCTATTGAAGGTGTTTTTTCCAATGGAAGCCGGGTGGAGGTGGAAGTGGACATTCATTGCTTGCGGTTTAGGAATGGTGGGCAACCTGCAACGACCACTGTCTTGGAGCCCACTGATGAGGGCATTGTTGTAAGCGCCAATGAGGATGACTTGGGAGGCTTGGCAAGGAGGCAGGACTTTAACTCCAACACTCTTGGTCGCCAGAGGAAAGGCAATGGCTCAGTGGCACCTTCCGAGAAAATTCATAGTCTGATTGAGGTTGCTGCAGATGCACCTTCACGAAAAACAGGAGGATATTTTGCCGCACCAGCGCAGCCAGATCCTGATGATCAGTTTATTATACCGCCTGAACTTGAGGAGGAAGTAAAGGAGATTATGAAGCAACATCAGGAGCAGCAGCAACAACAGCTGCAACTTCAGCAGCATAGACAGTATCAAATGGACCAGTTACCAGACTACTATGATACACCACTATGACACTTTCATTCCCGAGTGACTCCATTTTATCTGAACTTTTGAGCTTCCTCCACTCTTCCAGTTATGAGGACAGCAGATTTTAGGTACTTCTTTTTTTTCTTTAAGCATCTGCTCATCTTCCTTTTTCGATCATGTACTCTCCTCATTTTCCACAACTTTCCTGTACTACTTCGTGACTTCCATCCTTCTTTTTAAACTAACCACCAGCTTTCTTCTACAGATGCTTTAACAGCCAACTTTTTAATCACTGTTTTCCATAACATATCATGTTTAAGGAAATGTAAAGTTTGAAGAGAGGTTTTGATGAAAAAAAAAGAATTTAATATATTACAGAGATACAAAATAATACAGATTTGTAATATTTTTTAAGAAACGGAAATAGTTTTGTTTAATGTTTTGAAGCGCGACAGTGTCTGGCGAAGCTAAAGATTCGTAACCTAAAACTCCTTCTGGAAGCGAGGACACAAACTGCTGTGTAGAGATGGACTGTGGGAAGTGCTAGATATTTGTAGAACAATATGACTTAACTCTTAGGAGTTGCTTACTCTTTCCGGTGACTTTAAAAATCACGGAGTTTCACTAATTTTCTCTGAGAGAACAGTTGATTAGGACATTGTGGCCCTTTTGCTGCTGGCAGGAGCTGTCTGGTTACCTCAGGCATTTCCTTCCCGCAATTTAAGGGTTAATGTATATAGCTTATGTATTGTATAGTGTTCATTATGATCTACCCTCTGGTGCTGCAGTGATCAGACGATTTTCAGTGCTGGAGAACCATGACGAGAGTATCTTTCTCAACGGATTTGAGCATTACTGGGTAAATTTAATATATTGTTTAGCTTTTGTGAAGGCGCAACCAGTATCCAATGGCTGAAATCAAAGGGTTTATTTTGTTTGTTAAAGGAGAACTATGGGGTTAGAGCTTTTCCCCATAGTTCTCCCAAGGGTAACGGGAGGACACAAACTAGATCAGCTCGCGGTACACTGAGACGCCGCAGCCGGGACAGATCCCGACATTACTGTCTGGATCCACCCAGCTGCGTGAGTGACAGCTGGCTCTGCCTATCTAGAGGCAGAGCCAGCTGTACCCCTCCCCCGTCCGTTCTGCCAGTCAGCGCTGGAGGATCGGACAGGGGAGGGGGGGAATCCCTGCAGGGAGCCGTGAGTGACAGTCACAGCTCTCTGCAGGGAGATGATCGAGAAGTGAGTGAGCGATGGTATGTGTTCGCTCACTTCCCGATCTATTGAGCCGACGTGTGACAGTTTCATTGTCACAGGTCGGCTCGAACTATGAGGATGAGTGATTTTCACTCACCTCATAGTTCTCCTTTTTAATACAGAAATCGAGTCACAGCTTATATGAATGGCTGGCTGTGGTGGAAAATGTGATTCGTTTTATTTTCTTGAAAAATCAATAACAAAATGGAGCATTATCTGCTGAACCATGTTTTCCCTCCTTTTTTTTTTCCTGAATGTGTTTTTATATTGCTGCCACCACAATCCAGCATGATTGTACAAAGCTCATTTAGATTCAACCTACCCGGAGTTATATCAATGCAGAATGCACAAATGAAAGTGTTGTCATTTTGGTATAATAAACCTGAAACTTTACGAGTAACACGTTTCCTGTCATTTCTACAAAAGCACAATGTGAACTGTTTTCATGCTGTGGTTGTTTTCATCCTACACCCTTGGGGAAATGAGTTGGTTTTATATTACCGAGTATCTCAGGAGAAACTAAGATGATATGAAAGTACAGTTAGCCCAAAGTAACCAATCAGCTTTTACTTCACCATAGTGTGTTCTAGTCTTCCACCCTATAAACTGCCCATGAAAGCAGAACATTTAGACCTGGTTCACACCTGGGCGTTTTACAGCGCGTTCCTACACGCTGTAAAACGCTCAACATGTGAAAACCAATGATTGCCTATGGGCATGGTTCCCACCTGGGCGTTTTACAGCGCGTAGGAACACGCTGCAAAATGCCCTACGCCCAAAGAAGTACAGGAAGTTTAAAAGTGAAAAAAAATTAACAAAAATAGAGAAAATAAAGGAAAAAAAAAATCGTACCGCCAGTGAAACGCGCGTTTCACTGAACGAAAAAACGAGCATAAAAAACCCGCACAGGTGTGAACCCAGCCTTAGAGTGTAAAGTGTATGTAAACTTAGTCTGCTCCGTTCTGGTCTGTTAAATAGAACATTGAAAGTGGCTTTTTGGTACATGTGGAAAAAATACTTGTTCATAGCTGTTGAGTCCTGATCACAGATCAATAATACAAAATCACCCGCACTCCATACAGCGTACAGACCTTGTTGAAAAGTTGGTGCTTGAAGTGACAACACGGATGGCGCCGTGTCAGAAACAGTCCACAATAGAAGTCGCCAGCACTCGATGTGTGCAAGAAGTAAAGTACTTTTTATTAATTCGTCACATGCGTCATACAGCTAACGTTTCAGGGCCACGCAGGGTCCCTTCTGGGCGACATAGTGACCTATGTTGCCCAGAAGGGACCCTGCGTGGCCCCGAAACGTTGGCTGATCTCAGATCATTTACAGATATTCTGCATTGAAGTGGGTGCCAGAAGAGAGAACCAAGAGGTTTGGGCATGGCATGGCACGGTTAAGAGTAGAAAATCTATTCTACGTCACAGGTAGTACCCTAGGTGCCCCAGTGCGTAAGGACAGATAATGCTGGCATGCGAAATATCAACTTGGATACCACTAAGAGGTCATCATAACTGATGCTGAAGACTACAAACCTCCAACACAAAGAAAGACCCTTGAGTCTTGCAGCTTGCTAGAAGTGCCCCCCTTAAGGGATGAGATCTATTGAAACAAGGCTCCACTCATGAAAGTCTAGCAATTTCCCATTAGAGAGGAAACAATGCCACTGCACACAGACAAAGTGGAGTCATGATTATAAAAGTAGACCCCAAACCTAAAAGAGGAAAAGTTACATCAAACGTTCCCAAGAGAATAGATTGCAATGTCTTCATTATATTATGAAGTGCTGTGCAAACTGTTGGTGCTATATGAATCCTGTACAGTTCATCCCCACACAGCTCCCACCTCTTGTATCACTTGCCCCTCCCTTTTAGATTGTGAGCTCTCACGGGTAGGGTCCTCCTTACCATGTTGATTTGTTTTGTAACTGTAATATCTTGTATTGTAAAGTGCTATGCAAACTGTTGGCACTATATAAATCCTTTTATAATAATCCTCCTAGGACACTGATGAAAAACTGAAGCATGATGGGAGTGGGAGGGGCTATAACTGATTTTACTTTACCAGTGTCCAATTCCTCCAAAAGGTGTTGGTCTAAAACACTTGTCTCCAGTTTACATGTGATCCTGTGTCCCCTAGTGAACAATAAAGACATATGCTTAGGTTTACATGCACTTTAAGCTATTAAATCCAGTTCGGTTCCTTTCTCAGGAATGATTCAACCCTTTCACTGCCACCGATGTAAGGCTTAGAGCGGTGGCAGCGAGCCCGCTTAAACAGATTAGCCGCCGAGACTCTGTTTACAATTGTAAAGCCAGCTGTCAGCTTTTACAAAAGAAGCGATTCTGGTGGCTCGGCTACCATTGGATCACTTCCACGGGCCAGTAAAGCTGGGTATCACTGCACCCCTGCCAGAGTGAGAGCAATCATTTAAGTGCCAATATTTCTGTGTATGTCTAAACTTATGACCTGGAGGGGCTTTTAAAGCATTATCTATGGACTTTTTGGGGGTACTAAATTTTGTTGCCATTTCACAGATACACACAATTTTTAACCTGGGCATGTTGGGTATCTATTTACCTGTCGTAATCTCATCTTTTATATTTTACAAACAAAATGGGGCACAAAAATTTACTTAAAAAAGAACTATGGGGTAACTGTTTTTCAAGGGAAAAACACATATACTAACCTTCTGTGACCCAAAGCTCAGTATATAGAGGGCTATTTTCCGCGATATACTGAGAGTGCTGCAGCCAGGACGGATCCCGACAATACTGTCTGTGACAGCTGTGCCCGCCCCCTCCCCCGTCCATTCCTCCACTCGGCACTGGAGGATTGGTGAGGGGAATCCATCTCCGTGCAGTGAGTCACCGCTCACTGCACGGAGATGATCGGGAAGTGAGCGGATCGGCGTCATGTTTCTGCTCCTTTGTCTCAGGTCGGCTCTAACTATGAGGATGAGGGGAAATCACTCACCACGTAGATCTCTTAAGTGCATTTTTCAAAAAAAATTTGGGTTTGATAGAGTTGCACTAATATCGTGCAACATAAAAATTTGCAACTGCCGCCATTTTATTCTACAGGGTTTTGGCTTTCAGAAAATTATTATGTTTGGGGTTTTCGAAGTAATTGTCAGGCCTGTAATGTGGATTATAACGTGTGCAAAAAAGCCTTGGCAGTGAAAGGGTTAAATCTCTTATGTGCCAACCCAACCTTCTTATTTCTGTATGGATTAGCAAATACCAGTTTAGACTTGCTCCAAGTGGAATACTGTGTTAACCCTTATTTTTATGGTCCGGATTAAGCACTTGGCTTAAATACAATATTAAGGAAACATTGGCCTCAGCTTTGAAGTTTTGGTTCCTGAATTTGGTGCCTGCAGCACTCGGACTAGGAAGGTTTGGGGTAGCAGCAGGCACCAATTGCGCTCTGACAAGCAACGTGAGGAAAAAGTCATCAGTCTGCTTCTGTACGGGGGGTGTTATTGCTCAACAGCAGAGCTAGGTGAACGGACTTTCTTCTGTAATCTGGCCGTCCTGATGCAAATTCTTTGACGTGTAAAGTATCTTGCTGGTTTGCTCCGAGTTTGCTTTAAAGATGGCTCAAGTTCTGTGTCATGTTGGCTTCCACAAACTTTGTGCTCCTTAACCCCTCTGAGCATAGGCTTCCCAGCAGACCAGGGACCACTTTTACTTCCACAAGTGCTGTATGTCTGGGTTCCATCCGACACTCCCTAACCTAGCCAAAATTGGCTGGAGCAGTCTGCTAGATGCCATATACTGTACATAATTCTCTTCATAGAAGTAGACATCTGATGACCATTTTTGTCTGCTAAGATACGATAGTAAAGGATGGTTGGATTTTATCTGCAGGAAGCTCCTTGATATAAGATTGTCACTCGAGACAGTCTATAAGCTATATTACAAAAGGATTCTTCTGGTTGGATTGTGCCTCCTTTCCCATCTCGTATTTCATTAGTATTGTAATCCTAAGGTTTGGGATTGTGTGGGGAAGGCATTGATCCCCCAGTTATATATTCATTGTAGTCCTCGTCTACACTGGGGACTGGAAGAAATGTGAAATGTTTCCAGTGGGGGCAATTATGTCATTAATGGGGAACAATTGGCTCATGTCAAGTTATCGCTACTGCCTGTTACTTC